ATTGTTCAGTGGAAGGGATACTGTGATTTAACTCTTTATTTCAGGAAACTAAGGGGACATGGAGAATCATAGCTTTTGCTAATCTAACACTTGTAACTGAGCAATTATTTCACATTCCTTTACCTGCTTGTGTCAGGTAGAGAAGAGTAAGTCATAGTCTTGATCCAAGTCTGATGGAAGAACCAAATAGATTGAGTAAAGTCTAACAAATCATTATCAGCAAAGAGGAGAGAACAAGAACTTCTGCCTGAAATTGCTGAGAGGGAGGCAGAACTTGGGGACATCTCTGCCAAGAAAAGGGTGTTTTGGCCAAGGTTTTGAAAAATGAATAGAAATTTGGTTTATGGTAAATGGGAAAATCAGGTAGGAAAGCATTTTGGCCAAAAAAAAATCAGGAAGGAAATAAGTGTGTGAGATAAAAGTGACATTAAAATTTTTTGACGGGCTGGGGTTGTGGCTCAGTGGTAGAGCACTTGTCTAGCATGTGTGCGGCCTGGCACCACATAAAAATAAATAAATAAAATAAAGGTATTGTGTCCAACTATGACTAAAAATATATTTAAAAAAAAACATTTGACAATTGGGGCCCAGGCACTGTGGTACATGCCTATAATCCCAGCAACTTGGGAGGCTAAGGCAGGAGGATTGCAAGTTCAAAACCAAATTCAACAGTCTAGTGAGGCCCTAAAGCAACTTAGAGATACCCTATCTAAAAACAAAAATTAGCAATCAGTCTGGGCACAGTGGTACACACCCATAATCCCAGCAACTCAGGAGGCTGAGGCAGAAGAATCACAAGTTTGAGGCCAGCTGCTGCAATTTAGCAAGACCCTGTCTCAAAATTTTAAAATTATAAAGGGCTGGGAGTATAGCTCAGTGGTAGAGCATCCCTGGGTCCTATCCCTGGTAACCTCTCACAAATATTTGGCAATTAGGTATAGACAACAGTAAATCCAAGTGGACATTCTGACCAAGCAGAGTAGACATCAGTTATAGACAAACTGGCACAGCAATAACAGTTCATACCATTTGATAATTGGCTACAAACGAGACCAGAGTGTTGCAGAAATGCTGAGTAGTCTGGCATGTTAAAGTAATACATTTAGTGCATATAGTGAGTTACCACAATGCTTTGCATTCCTTGTATCTCCCAGTCAAACCCAATACTACAAATATTCTTGGCATCTCCATTTTATATATGGGAAAATTGGGTTTCAGAGAGGTAAGTCACTTGCCTAAGTTCACACAATCGGAAATATTAAGAGTTGCTATTTAAACCTAAACCTGTATAGGCTGGCTCCAGAACTTATAATTTTAACTAAGGTATACTGCCTCAAGTAGTAGCTAGAACATAGTTTTGCCTCTTTAACAATGTGGGGATATACGAAGAGATAAAGTAGGTTGATTTTCCATTATAGACCAAGCTGTCTGGATGAGGAAACAAGACTCTCAGCTGTACAAAGACTGTCCCTTAGAAAATGGGATGTTTACCCATTGAATGGGACATTTAATGAGTGCTGTGGATTTTCACTGGAGCTGGTGAGGTCATGGCAGAAATGGACCTTGAACCTGGAATAGAGACATATGGACTAGTGGAAAGAATATAGCACTAGACTCAGAAGTGCTGGGGTCTACTCACTAGCAGTGTGATCCAGACCAAAGTAATTTCCTTCATTGTTCTCATCTGTAAAATGGATGATTTGGAGTAGAACAGTGGTATAACCTCAGGAGGTATTTTGGAAATTATGAGACATATTTGGTTGTTCAAATGCAAGAGAGGCATTTAATAAGTGGGGGCCTTAAATGATAGATGTTCTATACACTACAAAGTATTGAACTCCATCCTACCCTACTAGACTCTAGACATTCATGGAGGTGAAAACTTTATAATTGTCTCGAGTCTAGAATGTGATTACATTTTACATATTGAAGTGAATTTTTAATGGTTTTATTTTTCCTGATTAAAACAACCTAGTAACATAAAGGGAAAACTGTAATTTTCTTCCAGAACATGACCATGAGTTATTCACATTTCAGAGAATCACTGCACCAATCTAACTGCATTCCTGATACTTGAATCACCAATACCACAACCCAATGTCATTTATTCTGTTTCAGCAGGCTGTGGCTTTCATGATGTTTCTGTGTAGAAATGCTAGCCTCTGACTACTTCATTATGTTTTCTCATATAGCCATGGATGAACTTTTAAATATTGAAATACATATTGTTTCATTATAAATGACTTTCCTTTTGGTTTTCTTTGCAATATAATTAGGTAATATTGTGTGCTTTTAAAATTATTGCTTGAATATTTATTATACCTTCTTATGAATTTCTTTTTAGGATGACAAGGCAGATTAATACATGACTGTAATAAAAATGACGTGCTGGTCTGATAGAGTTGGTATTAGGTGATCTTCCAAGGCCTTTCCAGCTTTGATTTTCTATGGGTATAAGGACAGTTGGATTTTGAAAGGAAGGGGATAGCATTTTAAGGTGGGAATGACTCCAGCACCATGGCCTGCTTAAGCAGGGGTTGGAGTGTCCCCAGGCAAGTCAGGACAGAGCAGGAGGCCTGGTCTGGTCATGTTCCCTGAAAACTACTCTACCCCACCCACCTCACTGTAATTGAACACTCCTGGGGAAACTGCCAGGGCTATCATCACAGGAAATTGCCTTTTGGCCAGTAGGGCTTCTCTAGTTACTTTCTTAAGTGACAGAGGACAGTAATGACTTCCTGTCTGTTAGGAAGAAGGTGTCAGCCTCCGTGTTCTGGTGAATTCCTGAAACACCTCTAGCAGAAATTCCCTATGTTTTTGCTCAGCTCTTGACATTGGGATTATTTTTCTTGTCTTATCCAACCTCCTTGCCTCCAGTCTTCTTCCTCCATACTAAAGATCTGGAAACTTTTATTCTATGATAGACGAAATTGATCCCCTATAATCCTGCTTATTCTTTTTTTATATGCCAATTTTATTGAATACCCACAGAGACACTATTTGGAAGTAGGCCATACATACAAACAGATTCCACTTCAAATTTTGCAACACTTGTTGAGTCCTCTCTCTTAAAGGGGTGTCTTTTATCATTTAATAACATGTCTCTATTTTCCTCTAATATACTCATTCATTGAAGACTGCTTGGAAAATACAAATATGTATGGAGAAGCCATTGCAAATGATCCATAATCCCAATCAATATAGTACTCAACATCAGACAAAGTGATGGCAAATATGAAGGTTAAATTCAATGTTGCTCTTTCTGTTCTTTATTCTGTGCCAGCTCCCAGCTTCCTCCTCCCAGAGCACCTCTTGATCTCACCCTTATGAAAAACTTGCTCGTCCTATATACTGTAAAATGGAGGGCAAACTGGAAAGTGTACAATAGCACTTAGCATGTCAAAGGCATAGAAGAGAGATAAAATATCTCATATAAGGAAGGTGTTTGGAATCTAAAATAGCAATATTTTGTCATAGCTCTGCCATCACTACCTTATTACTGAAGTGCTGTGGTGATAAAGTATTGTGGGAATGTCTAAAGAGATAAGAGACCATCTGAGAAATTCACAGTGATCCCTTGGAATCAGGAAAAAGCACACAGTACACAGAGGCAAGAATGATTAAGTGTGAGGCTGGCTCATAAATATGCCTTTCTCATTGGAAAAAAAAAATGACCAACATTAAACAAAAAAGTTGGATGATACTAAATCCATCCCAGAGATAAAGTTCTTGTTATAGATATTAGTTAGAATTTATGTTTTGCTTTTTTTTTCCCAAGGTGGATAGGGTCAGAATGGCAGTTTCCCTTAGTTTGGAGTCTTGTATTGAGGCTCTGGTATAGAGAGGTCTTAGAAAACACTAAAACATAGAGGTGAAATTCAAGACTTTGGAGTCAGTCAAACCTATGTTCAAATCATAGCTCTACTTCTGTGATCATCAAACTTTACTTTAGTAACATCCACTGTTGTAGGCATTGGGGATACAATATTGGACAAGACAGATAAAAGTCCTACTTTAATGGAGTTAGCATTCTAGTGGTCCAGGACTAAATATCTAATGATGAAAAAGTACAAGGGATATGATTGGAAGTAATGGGGACTTCCTGAAGATGAGTGGTCAGGAATGGCTTCTCTGAGAAGGGACCATTGAACTGAGACCTGGATGATGAAAAGAGGCCACCAATTTAAAAAAATCAAAGGGAAAATATTCCAGGAAGTAGTAACAGCTAGTACAGATGTGCTGTGGCAAGAACAGGCTTGATATTTTAAAATGCTCACTGAATGAATGCTCACTGAAGCAGTTGAAGCTTGAGTGAGCCAGGGAGAGAATGAGGAGGTGAGGTTGGACAAAGTCAGAGTATATGTCAGATCATGTGATGGCCTTGTAGAAATTCAGCTAATCATCATCATCATCATCATCATCATCAAGCAGGAGAGGGGGAAAATGAAGTTGAAGAGTTTGGGTGATACTATATGATATTACCTGAAGAGTTTGAATTTGACTCATTGGGGATGGGATGCCACTATACGGTTTGAATGGTGTGCACAAATGGAGCCTGGGAAGATGAGAACAGAGTGCAAGGTGGCCATTTTCATCTTCACTACATGTCTAGCACTTGAATTTCTCCTAGGTTCTCTCCTACAGCTACTGTTCCCTCAGTGAATGCAAACCCATAAGTTACTGTACACCTGTTTTCACACCAGCCCTGTGTAAAAAAATTCTCTTGTATTTTGTGACTAGAATTTCTACCAAAAAAGGCAATGTCTGAATCACAGTTCACAAAGCAGCTACCAAACTGGCAATTTGGTGAGATATAGACCTGACCTAAGGGGAGACTAGTTTAAGATGAGTTTTTCTTTCAAATAATGACACCAGAAGATGAAATCTTTAGTCAACTTCAAATTTACTTTGTTAGGAGGAGTGTAGCTAAGGGTTAAGTTCCCTGGGGCAATTCTTTCTCGGTTCACATGCTATAGTAACTTTTTTTCTTTTTTTAACAGGGAGAGAAGAACTCCTATGGAAAGCCATGCGGGGGCCAAGACTGCAGTGGGAGCTGTAAATGTTCTCCTGAGAAGGGAGCGAGAGTAAGTCACTGATGTCATTGTTGAACAACAAATAGTCATGTGGGGGGAGCTGCTTTCTGTTTTCTTTAGAATTAAATTGCTTAGAATTTACTCTTCTGACCTCATGGAACAAGCAAAGTGAGGAGGGTCAGCTGGAAGGAGTTTTGCTAACTAATGACAGATAGAACAAGATTGGTCAAAGTCTCTGAGGGACCAAGAGTAGTCTTCCTTCATTGACTTAATGCCAAGGTTTCCCCAGTTTCATCAGAGTATTTCCAAGTGTCAATCAGATTGTGCACAAGCAGATTGTGATAATGTTTGTAGATATGTACAAATTTTCATAACTCATTTATATCCACTTGGTTTTTCCCTACTGCTCTGGGCAACAGGTGGTCCAATTATTATCTACAGAGGTGTGAGTTATCCAAATTAACCCTACTTGTTAGAGACAGAATCAGGAGTACAGGATAGCCATAAAGTCTCAAAATATAAGTAACAATACATAGAGAATGGCTTATCAGTACTACATAAAATATGTTTTAAAACATTTTGACATATTCATTAACTATGCACAAATTGTAGTATAAATTGCAACAAACACAATATGTTGACACAACATTTACATCAATTCCTGTAAATTCTCAGCCCCCCCAATGAATTACATCTCTGATTTTCACTGAATAAAGTTGTATCCTTTAGTATAACATAGAAAAAGTATTCAAGGCAGTCTAATATATTAAACATATGTATGTATATTCATAATTTATGATCACCCTGTAGAATTCATATCTTTCAACTTTCAGAACTGTGTTTGCACTCTCATCACACTCAAAAAAGCCAAAGAGCTTCCACTGTCAAAGGAAGGTAGTAGCATAAATAGGTCAACCGAACCTTCAAAAACATAGCCAAACAGGGAACATGGTGACCGATCCACCTTCTCTTTCATTATCTGCCATTTGCAGTAAAGTGAAATGTCAAACTATGCCAGAATTTGAAGGAAGAGAATAAAAAGCCACCTCTTCATCAAAAAGGATCAGACCTATTATACATTAAAGACACAGACTTAGAGAATCATAAAATATCAAAAAGGGAAGGCATCTTAGTGAGCTTCTTATCTTGCCACTGATTTACAGAGAAAAGACTCAGAAGGAAAATGACTTCCTGGGGTCACAAAGCAAATTGATGACAGATTCCTGGCTATTACCTGGGTCCTTTGATTTCTCACCTGTTTACTTCACTCACTTACCCACTACTGCCCCCAAGGGAAGCAATGTTCACTGTAGCCACCAAGGCTCATGCCTTTGACTCTGATCTACAACCAGGAAAAATAAATAAATATACAAATATAATAAATATACAAATGCATTCTTTTTTATTCTTATTTTTTATTTGTTCTACTTACAAATGCATTCTTAGCATGTAAGCAGTACAAAGTGAAATGCCATATATCATTTATATAATGTCATTTATTATTCTACTTTGGAAATAAAATCAGAAAATGAAGGTATTTATATGGTTTTATTTCCAAAATAGAATCATGTGAGTTGTGTGTGTGTGTGTTCTGGGCCTTTTTTTCCCACTTACTATGTCTTTAAAATCTTTTCTTCTATCCCATAGTTTAATTCAGCCATCCCCCTTTTACTAGGAACTCAAGTTGTTCCTGAATTTTTATTATTTTATAAAATGTCAATGTTATAGTGGAAATATTTGAACACGACTTCTTATACTCATCTCTGAGTTGATAATAAGGATCAGAATAATAAAACAAGCATTTTTAACTTTCAAAGCTACTGGCAAATGGCCCCACAAAGTATGTTCCAATTCATATACCCATTAGCATTGTAAATGAGTGCCCATGTTTCTTTACCCTTGCCAACACTTGATATTTTGCAAATATGATGAATGAAAATCATCCCATTCTCTGACTGTACGTAAGTTTAAGCATCTTTTCACATCTTCATTGGAAGTGGGTATTTCTTCTGTGAATTCACTGGACAAATCCTTTAACTACTGTCCTACATGAAGATTCCTTTTGGCTTTAGCTCTGCAAAGATAGAGCAAATAAAAATGATCCAAGTGGAAGCAGATGCAATTTGAGATTTGACACAAAGGAACATTTCCTGATGTCTTATGGCAAGAGAGATGGCTAATCAGACCCAACAACCAGGAAACTCAGAAGAAGCTCTGAACTGTTCTTTGATTTGGGGGTCCATTAAAAATAGAAAATCTATATCTGAACCACAGATCAGTACTACATCAGGCAAACATGTTTTATAATGACCTCATTGTTTAACCCCAGGCTGCGATTTGGATTTTTGAAGATGGAGAGCAGTAGATTTACTCCATGAAGAGCCCCCAATTGGGTTCCAAACATCTGGAGCCCAAGTCTAGCTTCTCTTTTGGAAAGAGATAAGTGGCTGAAGGGGTAGGAGGTGGAGGAAAATGGAAGATTGCTGTTCAGAATGTTTTCCTTTAGAATTTAAAAGACAACCTCTATGCGATTAAACATGTTCCTAAAAGTTTATTTGTGAAGTCTGAAGTTTCTGAGAACATTTGTCAAGGTTATCAAACCACGCCAATTTGTATTTTATGAATCAAGAGCAAGAATATCTGTCTTGTTTTCCAAATAGATAAGGGGGCTGGTGTTCATGAGGCAAAATGTGAACATGTTGCATGATGCCAGATCCCATTTAGTCATCTTCCTTTCCCTCCTACGTTCCCAGGGCCAATTGGTAGTGTTTAAACTAGCACAGCACTATTGACCCTGCAGAACTGCCCCTCTGTACCCCTTTGTGCAGTTGTTAGAAAGATTTGAGACTGTTTTCCTTAGCTGAACAGAGGGCCCCATTGGATTTCAAGCTGTTCTTCTCGAGCTGGGAGAGGAACAAAAGGTTGGGTCACTCCTGAGCAATGCTGAAGCCCTTGGCAGGCCTGTCTCCTGCCTTAGGGAGACATCAAGCACATAGCTTGCTGGGCAGTATGTACTTTTCCTTTGCCAAAGTCCTCTTGAACTGACTGGGACATTTACACAACACCTAGCACTCCAGCAAGCTGCAATTCAAACCATTTTGATTGAATCTTTCTCAAACTGATTTCTCCAAGGTATGTCCTGCCTGGTAAAGCTCTTGCCTGATGTTGGTACACTAGTTTCACTAGTTTTCACTTTCCAAAGCCTCACAGTGCACCTTTCAGGGGCTATATACTATCTATATGCAACAAATAAATGGATAAGTGACTTGCCCAATGTCACCAGACTGTTAGTTAAATCTTATTTAGCTTACTTTAAGAGAATGGCAACTTTAAAAGATGATATACCTCCTAGAATTAAATAAAGGGTTTTCTCTCTTGGACATTCAGATGTGGATTTAATATTTGACTTTCTTTCTTTCGTGGACATAGGTTTTATCTGAAAGAATCATTCTTTTGAGCTGCTCTCTTGTCTGGTATTTCTTCCCTGTTCTTTAATCGAACAGAACATTTTAGGTTGACATTGTAATTCTTCCCTTTTTCACCTACTGGATCTGAAAGCTATCTCTGCATTACACTCCATCAGTGTGTATTTCTCTGAAGTTGAGGAAGGGAGGAAAGGAGGATGTATCTTTTGTTCTGAACCCAGTTTTCCTCAATATTCAGTTTTTCCTGTTTTAGCAGTGTTCTGTTTATATATATATATATATATATATATATATATATATATATATATACAACATGGTAAACTCTTCATTATCCAGAGCATCTGAAGTAGCATTAACACACATAATCTAGCAGTGCTAGAATTTAAAAAAATAGGGAATGTTATATTCTCCATTAGATAAGGACTATTTGTCCCATTCTATGGCTTGAGAATCCATGTCCTTGCTTGAGAGCATATGAGACTAGAATTTCATGTGAAATTAAGGCCAAGTTTCTTAATTCCTTATCTTCTGCCTGCAGCCTCCCACTTCTCTACCACAAAATGTGTTTCCCATGAATTCCAGAGCCCAGTTGAACTAACCACTAGTTCTTCAATTTGTTCTCCTCCTGAAAACAGCTGGTGTTCCTTATATTACTGACTGATGCCATGGATACCAAGAGGTCTTTTCATTTTCTCCTGAATTAAGCAATTGCTGAGTACACCTTTTCCTCCTCCCTGTTTGTCCCGTACACACACACACTCACACACACACACACACACACACACTCACACTCCTGCCCTGACCAATCACTTTATGACACACACCTATGTCCTTATTCTCTACTTCTTCAAAGCTAAAGCTCATGTTGCCCAAGACCTGCTCTGGTGCCTGGGCCTTTCTACAACTGCCTGAAAATGAGCTTGATGCCTTCATTGCCCATGTACTGCTCATCTCTCTGTAAGTTTGCCTCAATTTTGACACTGGTCACCATTAAACAACTTGTTGCCAAACCCAGTGGACATTTCCATTCTGTCTTCTGTCTTCCTTGAGCTTCCTGCTGCACAAGACACCTCCTTCTCTCCTGAAACTCTCTGTTCCCTTGGATTTCATAATAATGTTTTCTAATTCTTTTCATACTTTGATTGGGATCCCCCAGGGGGTCTGTCCTCATCCCAGTACTTATTGTTGGCCAGTCATAGGTGGTTTCCTGAATCTCAAGCTTTACCTTGACCTATGTTCTATTTTTATGTATTTATTTTTTAGTTGGACACAAATCTTTATTTTATTTATTTATTTTTATGTCTTGCTGAGGATTGAACCCAGGGCCTCACACGTGCTACGCAAGTGCTCTGCCACTGAGCCACAACCCCAGCCCTTGTCCTACATTCTTAACTTCAGGTCAACATTGTCCATTTCTTGCTGGATATCTCTACTTGTATTTTTACCAGCACCACAAACATGCCTTGCTCACAACTCCATCATCAAGCCCCTTCATACATGTTTGCCCCCAAGTCCTACATGTGTCTCCCCCATCACAGCAAAAGGCACCACCAGGTACTCAGTTACTGAAGCCAGAAAATGTAGTTGTTCTTCCCTTCTTCACTATCACCTCCAGACCATCATCAA